ATCCGGCCAACCCGATACCACAAAACACGGATATCGAAGCATAAATAAGCAGAAATGGGGAAAATGGAGCGGTAACCCATGAGACGACTGGTCGGGTCATCACATCCTCCCCAACTTAAACAAACATTCATCCTCGAATGAGTCGAGAAACATACCTGAAGCCTCAAACATGTGAGGATATCTGCTTCACATCTCCCGCTCAGTCTCCTAGGTAGCTTCCTCCAGAGGCCGACCTCTCCACTACACTTTCACTGAAGCTATATCCTTTGACCCCAACTTCCGAACCTGACGACCCAAAATAGCTACTGACTCCATATCATAGGTCATCATCATCTAACTGAACCGTGTTGAAATCCAAAACATGAGACGAATCCTCAATATACTTCCGGAGCATAGAAACATGAAATACTGGATGCACACTCAACAAACTGGGTGGCAAAGCTGCTCATAAGCCACCTCCCCAATCCTCCGAAGCACCTTAAAAGGCCCAATAAACCGCGGACTCAATTTCCCTTTCTTTCCAAATCTCATAACACCCTTCATGGGTGAAACCTTCAACAGAACCTTCTCGCCAACCATGTAGGACACATCTCGAACCTTCCTATTAGCATAACTCTTTTGCCTCGACTGCGTTGTACGAGGCCTCTCCTGAATCACCTCCACCTTTTCCAAGGCATCCTGTACCAAATCAGTCCCCAATAGCCTAGCCTCACCGGGCTCGAACCAACCAACTGGAGATCTACACCACCTCCCATATGGATCCATCTGAATACTCGACTGATAGCTATTGTTATAAGCAAACTCTGCAAGCGGTAGGAACTCATCCTATGATCTTCCAAAATCAATGACACAAGCACGCAACATGTCCTCCAATATCTGAATAGTGCGCTCGGACTGCTCGTCCATCCGAGGATGAAAAGATGTGCTCAACTCAACCTGAGTACCCAACTCTCTCTGCACGACCCTCCAAAATTGCGAAGTAAACTAAATACCTCTATTTGAAATGATGGAATCTGGGACACCATGCAAACGAACAATCTCCCTGATATAGATCCCTGCCAACCGCTCTGAAGAATAGGTAGTACACACATGAATGAAGTGCAGGACTTGGTTAGCCGATCCACAATCACCCAAATAATATCGAACTTCTTCAAAGTCCATGGAAGTTCGACTACAAAATCCATAGTGACTCTCTCCCACTTCCACTCTGGAATATCCATCTACTGAAGCAAGCCATCCGGTCTCTGATGCTCATATTTTACCTACTAACAATTGAGACACCGAGCTACAAATCCCATAATATCTTTATTCATTCTTCTCCACCAATAGTGCTGCCTTAAATCCTGATACATTTTCATGGCATCCAGATGAATGGAATACCGCGAGCCGTGGGCCTCCTCTAGAATCAACTCCCGAAGCCCATCCACATTGGGCATGCAAATTCGGCCCTGCATCCTCAACACCCCATCATCACCAATGGTCACATCTCTAGCATTATCATGCTGAACTCTATCTCTAAGGACAAGCAAATGCGGATCATCATACTAGCGCTCTTTGATGCGATCATATAAGGAAGACCGAGAAACCACACAAGCTAACACCCGACTAGGCTCCGAAATATCTAACCTCACGAACTGATTGGCCAAGGCCTGAACATCAACTGCAAGAGGTATCTCCCCAACTAGAATATATGCCAATCTCCCTATACTCACTACCTTTCAACTAAACACATCGGCCACCATATTGGCCTTTCCCAGATGGTACAATATAGTGATATCATAATCCTTAAGAAACTCCAACCATCTACGATGCCTCAAATTGAGATCATTTTGATTGAACAAATGCTAAAGACTGCGATGATCAGTGAACACCTCACAAGATACGCCATACAAGTAATGCCTCCAAATTTTCAATGCGTGAACTATGACAGCCAACTCCGAATCATGAACGAGGTAGTTCTTCTCATGGGGCTTCAACTGACGAGAAGCATAAGCAATAACTCTATCCTCCTACATTAACACACAACCAATCCCAACTCTCGAAGCATCACAATACATGGTGAACCTGAAGTTGATGTCAAAACTAACATTGGAGCTATGGTCAAAGCTGTCTTGAGCTTCTGAAAGCTCTCCTCACACTCATCCGACCATACAAATGAAGCACCCTTCTGAGTTAACTTGGTCAAGGGCGATGCGATGGATGAGAATCCCTGAATGAACTGACAATAATAGCCTGCCAAACCAAGAAAACTGCGAATCTCTGTGGCTGAGGACGGTCTAGGCCAACTCTGAACCGCCTCTATCTTCTTCGGATCGACCTGAATACATTCACTGGACACCACGTGCCCCAAGAAAGTCACTGAATCGAGCCAAAACTCATAGTTGGAGAATTTTGCATAAAGCTTCTCCTCTCTCAATCTCTGCAATACAACCCTCAAATGCTCTGTGTGCTCTTCTTGACTACGTGAATACACTAGAATATCATCAATGAAGACTATGACAAATGAATCAAGATAAGGTCGGAACACGCTGCTCATTAAATGCATGAACACTGCTGGGGCATTGGTCAGCCTAAAAGACATCACCAAGAACTCATAATGACCATAACGGGTCCTAAAAATCGTCTTAAGAATATCCGAATCCCTGATCTTCAACTGGTGATAGNGACATCACAAAGAACTCATAATGACCATATCGGGTCTTGAAAGCTGTCCTAAGAATATCTGAATCCCTGATATTTAGCTGGTGATAACCTGAACGGAGATCAATCTTGGAGAACTCCCTCGCTCCCTGAAGCTGGTTGAATAAATTATCAATGCAAGGCAAAGGAAACTTGTTCTTAATTGTTACCTTGTTCAATTGCCTATAATCAATGCACATCCTTATTGTGCCATCCTTTTTCTTCACAAATAGAATCGAAGTACCCTAAGGTGATACACTAGGCCGGATAACCCCTTATCAAGGAGTTCCTGAAGCTGCTCCTTTAACTCCTTCAACTCCGTTGGTTCCATACGATACAGCGAAATAGAAATAGGCTGAGTGCCCGGCACCAGGTCAATACCAAAATCAATGTCCCTGTCCGGTGGCATGCCCGACAGGTCTACAGGAAACACATCGGGAAAATACTTCACAACTGGAACGGAATCAATACTGGGAGTCTCAGCTCTGACATCCCTCACAAAGGCTAGATACGAAAGACAACTCTTCCTAACCATACGATGGGCTTTCAAGAATGAGATCACTCTACTAGGAACATGATTAGTCACACCTCGCCACTCGATCTGTGGCACACCGGTATAGTCAATGTGACTGTCTTAACATGACAGTCCAGAATAGCATGACATGGAAATAGCCAATCCATGCCTAAAATGATATCGAAATCCACCATACATAATAGTAAAAGATCCACTCGGGTCTCTAAACCCCCAATAGTCACCACACACGACCAATACACACAGTCTACAACAACAGTATCGCCCACCGGAGTAGATACATGAACAGGTGAAACAAGAGACTCGCGGGGCGTATCCAATAGGCAAAGTATGATGACACATAAGAAAAGGTGGAACCAGGATCAAATAATACAGAGGCATCTCTATGGCAGACTGAAACAATACCTAAAATCATGGCATCTGAAGCAGCAACATCTAATCTACCTGGAAGGGCATAGAAACGAGCCTGACCACCGCCTGATTGGCCTCCCCCTCTGGGGAGACCCTTGGCTGTCTGACCTCTACCCCTATCTGGTTGGGGTGGTGGTGAAGTAACTGGAGCAGCAGTCAATGGTTGACCCCTCTGCTGAGACTGACTATCATGAAGACGAGGAAACTACCTCCTCATATATCCAAACTCTCCACACTTATAACAACTCCCCAGTGCTGGAGATGGGGACTGAAGGGAACCCCTAGCATTGGAATGACCAGTAGAAGGACCTGACATGGAAGAACCCTAGACTGTTGGAGCACAAGACGAGCTCTGAGCTGGAAGGGCACTAAGTGATGAGTGGCCCTAATGAGAACTATGAAAGCCATGACCTAATGATGCTCCACGGTAACATGGGCGAGCAGAATGTGCGTGCCTGAATGAACGGCCTTTGCCCTGCTGGAACTGACCCCTCAAAGGAGTACTACTAAAACTACCGGATCCCCGAGGCCTCTTGGCCTCCCTCTCCTCTCGCTCCTGCCGGCAAACCGTCTCAATCTCACGGGCGATATCAACAACCTCCTTGAAGGTAGCACATGTCACCCTCTCCTTAGTCATGAGAATCCGAAGCTGGTACGTGAGGCTATCAACAAACCTCCTGATCCTCTCTCGATCTGTGGGAACCATCCAAACTGCATGATGGGCTAACTCAAAGAACTGTATCTCATATTGCGTCACCGTCATTTCCCTTTGATGTAACTGCTTAAACTGCCTGTGCGGCTCCTCTCGGCGCGACTATGGTACATGCTTCTCCAGGAAGAGAACAGAGAATTGCTGCCAAGTAAGGGACGCTGGACCAACAGGCCTACGCCTCTCATACGCCTCCCACCAAGTGAAGGCAACCCCATAAAATTGAAAGATGGTGAATTCCACACCACTAGTCTCAAGAATCCATACTATATAAAGCATCCGCTGACACTTATCCAAGAAACCCTGGGCATCCTCGCCCTCTGTATCGCTGAATGTCGGAGGCTGGTGTCTACCAAACCTCACAAGTCGATGCTGCTCATCATCCGACATAACTGGTACCACAAACTCCTGAGCTGGTGCAACCGGCTGGGATGGATGTGCCCCCGATGTCTGGAGTCCCTGAACAACCTGCTCAGATGTGCGAGCAACGGGAGTCTGGGTGCCTTCCCCGGCCTGGGAAGTAGCTGCGGCCGTAGTAGCTGAGACCACCTGAGCCAAATCGGTACACACTAATAAGATCTGAGCTAAAGCCTCCTAGAGACCTGGGATAACAATAGGCGCAGCTGGTGCCTGAACTGGTGTTGTTTTAGAGTCCACAACTGGGACCTAATCTGGAACTGGGGCAGTTGGTGGATCTGTCGGTGCTACTCTAGCTGCACTGCCCCTGCCACGGCCCCGACTGTGACCTCAGCCTCTGGTGGCCCTAGCGGGTGGTATTGGTGGTCATCCGTCCTGCCTAGTAGCATGTGTCCTCACCATCTGTGAGAGAATGAAATAACATAAGTTTAGTACTCGGACAAACAGATCCGCACGACAAGAATTTCAAGAATATGAAGTTTTCCTAAAGGTTCTACAGCCTCTCGAGGATAAATACAGACGTCTCTGTACCGATCTGCGAGACTCTACTAAACCGGCTCATGACTCACGAGACCTATGTAACCTAGGCTCTGATACCAACTTATTACGACCCCAAGTACCAGTCGTGATGGCGCCTATCACATTACTAGGCAAACCAACCAATCAACTAACCACAACCCATTTCCTTTAGTAATAAACCATTTTCAACACAGGTTTTAAATACTGATTTCATAATAAAAGTTTAAAACGACAGAAAATATGCGGAAGTCTAAATAACAATAAACTATACAGCCCCAACAATCTGGTGTCACGAGTCTAAAGCCTCTAATACAAGTTTGAATTCCTAATACATCAATAGTCTAGAAAATGCGGAAAATAACATGATAGAAGGGAGAAAATAGGGTTACGAACGACATGCAACTACCTCGAAATCCTCGACAGAAACTGAATCAGCTGAAAAATGCTCACTCGATCGCTCGGGCACCTGGATCTGCACACAAGGTGTAGGGAGTAACGTGTGTACGCCAACTTAGTAAGTAACTAAAGTAAATAATGAACTGAAAGCAGTGGCGAGCAGTTAAAAAATATATAACTTTAAAATCAGTTCCGTCAAAAAATCATCATTTCTAGTTTAAAACATTGAAATTAGTTACTTAGCATATATCCAACAGAGGCTTATTTACAAGAAGAGTGAAAACAGTGGAAACATCATAATAGGGCCCATTGGGCAAGGAATCACTCAGAATATGGCACCTCGGGCAGCCTCTCAGTCACTCGTGACTCAACTCTCGTCACTCAGTACTCACTCTCAGCACTTGGATCATTTATATCTCATAATAATAGAAATCATAGTAACCGTTGTGGCGTACAGCCCGATCCATATAAGTGTTGTTGTAGCGTGCAACCCGATCCATATAAGTGTTGTTGCGGCGTGCAGCCCGATCCATATAAGTGTTTTTGCGGCGTGCAGCCCAATCCATACCTCACATATAAATATATAAGTATCCTCACAATTGGGTTCTCAACCTCTCTCAGTCCTTAACCTCACAGCCTCTCGGGCACATCAATAGAAATTAGGGTTCTCAGCCCGAACAGTCCTCACAATTAGGAGTAAAGTGATAAAACCAGTTTTTAACATTTAAACAGGTAAAACATGACTAAGGATATGCTTTTAGCAAGTAAAGTGAGGAAAAACGGTCAAAATGCTCCTAAGGGTTGCTACAGGTCGGCACAAGGCCCCAAACATGGCATACAACCCATAATACAATATAAATATCCAAAATAAGGGATAACATAATATTTCCAAATCAAATACGCGATTTAATAGTTGCTACGGGATGGACCAAGTCACAATCCCTATCGGTGCGCGCCCACACGCTCGTCACCTAGCATGTGTGCCACTGCTTTTATCAAAACAAGTCAAATACCGGGGTTTTTTACCTGCAGTTCCAGATTTACAATGGTTACTTACCTCAAACCGGTGAAAATACTACTCCGCGATGCCTTTGCCCCCCGAATAGGCCTCCACTCGCGTCGAATCTAGTCAAAATATGCTAAGGGAACGAAGCCCAAGCAAAAACAATCGAAAAGTACCAAAAAATCCCGAAATTACCAAAACCTGACCCCCGGGATCATGTCTTGAAATTCAGAAATTTTTACATCAATAGATTGCTTATCTCCCCACGAGTTCATACATACCAAAAACATCAAAATCCATCCACAAATGACCGTTCAAATCCCAAATGTTTGGTTTCAAATTTCAAGCCCTAGTTCTTCAATTTTAGGCTTAGATTCCATGATTTTCTAGGTGAAATTCACATAACAATCAAGTTTCTAGTCCAAGAATCTTACCTTCGAACGTTTCCTCTTCAATCCCCTTCAAATATCTCAAAAAACGAGCAACTATGAAGGAAAATAGACCCACATTCGTGGACAAGACAACCTTTTAAACATTCTGCCCAGGCCTTAAAATCCTTCTTCGCGAACGCGGTCAAAGCCTCGCGTTCGCGAAGCAAAAAAATTTCGTTGACCAAAATTCTTCTTCAGGAACGTGATCCCCCATCGCGAACGCGATGCCTCATCTTTACCAACCTATGCGAATGCGTCCCAGACACACGCGAACGCGATGCCTAATAAATCCAACCTTCGTGAATGTGGGACTACCTTTCGCGAACACGAAGGCCAAACATGATGCCTCCCTTCCTGGCCCTTCGCGAATGCGAGGGCCCTCTCGCGAACGCGAAGAACAAATCACCTGCAACAACTGAAACCATTTTTCTACAATTTCTCTTAACTCAAAATGATCTGTTCAACCCTCCGAAACTCACCCGAGGCCCCCAGGACCTTAACCAGAGGCACCAACATTTCCTAAAACCTCATTCAAACTTGTTCCAATCATCAAAACACCTCAAACAATATCAAATCACCCAAAATACCTCGGATTCAAGCCTAAGCTTCTAAAATCTTCCGAATTCCATTTTTGATAAAAAATCCAACCAAACCACGTCTGAATGACCTGAAAATTTACACACACATCCCAAATGATGCGACGGAGCTACTGCAACTCTCAAAATTCTATTCCGACCCCTATATCAAAATCTCGCCTATCAACCAAAAATCGCCAAAATATCAACTTTGCCAATTCAGGCCTAAATATACTTCATACCTCCAAAACCCGTTCCGATCACACTCTTGAGTCATAAATCACCTCCCGAAGCTAACCGAACCATCGAAACTCACATCTAAGCCCTCTAACACATAAGTCAACATCCGGTTGACTTTTCCAACTTAAACTTCCTTAAAAGAGACTAAGTATCTCAAACTTCACCAAACTCATTCCGGACTCGATCCGGCCAACCCGATACCAAAAAATATGGATAACAAAGCATAAAGAAGTAGAAATGGGAAAAATTAAGCGGTAACCGATGAGACGACTAGCCGGGTCGTCACAAGAGTTTGTAAGAAATATACAACCACCAGAAGTGGTTATGTTTCGTATATCTCATTATAACTAAAATTTTGTTACCCACCAGAAGTGGTATATGCCTATGGCCACCAGAAGTGATAATTTAGGTTTTCTATGGTTACAATTGAAGATAAGCTAGAGAAAAATTTCTTTATATTACTTGCATGCCTCGATTTGCTCATAAAGTAGCAATATCTTAAAAGAGGTTCTAAGCCGTCACACAATTTGGTGTGATTAATGCACGATCAAATAATTATGTTCCGTTCCCTGAAGGATGAGAACTTTTGATAAATATTAATCCATTCCTGAAGTGAATGTGATAATATTAATAAAGCTCGTAAATATGAATGCGCTTTTGATGTGAATATATTACAATTCGCCTCCAGAAGAGGTAATATGATTGAGGAAATATATACTCATTTTTTCGTATTTTAAATTTACTCCTGAAGAAGTAACACAATTGAAATTTTCTCCTGAAGCAGGAAAATATTATGAAACTGTGTCTTTCTGTGCTTAAACAAAATAATAAGCTATTCAAAGTTATTTTTGAAGCACATTTTCGTTCTCTGGAGTGAATGAAGAAATACCACAGCTCACCTCCTGAAGAGGTAGAATAACAAATGATATAAATCTTGTTTTTATGGCATAAAGACATTGCCGCACGTACCCGTTGTACGTAAAATATCTTGAATAATTTTATTAAATATCATTATAAGGCAAAAAGCATTCTTGTAGAATGCTTTGTACTACAACCACATTAATATGTTATGGTTAGTTATCGAGTTCCTCGAAGGAAATAACAACTCATGTATCTTTTCCTGAAGGATGTAATGATTATGTGGTTGCCGCTTTGATATAAAATATTCAGATGTTAATTGCGTTTCTCCCTGAAGGAGATATTTGTCACAAAGTTGGTGGTAAAAATACTGAAATTCTTAATTTCTTACATTTATAAATTTAAAATCGTCTTTATAATGTTCATTTTGTTATGATTTTCTCTCATGATACCAGAAATGTCTGAGCAATAATAGTACAAAATATATCAAAAACTCCCGAAGAGCTAACTGTTTGTATAGAAGACACATGACACCAGTAGTATCTGATAAATATTTGATTGTGGAAAATAAATTGAAGGCTCCCAAAGAGCTTATATGCAAATTTGTCATTCATATTATATGATTGTGGTCAAAACATATGTTGTAGTAAATACAAAGTTTACTAATACAACTGGCTATCATATTGAGACTACAAATGATTAGAGGATTGAAAATCTTCACGTTTCCACAATCATAAGGGGTAAATTAATATGTATATGAGAAGTTACCCGCCTTATATCTTCAATTTGTACTACATCATGTATCATAGTAAACCAGATGTTTACTAATGCAAAAGTTTATGCCATAGTAAATTAGAAGTTTACTAAGAGATAACACATGCCATGATAAACTTGAAGTTTTCATTTGCTATTTTTTGAGCTATTTGAGAATTCAAATAAGCATATACTGAAGAACTAGAAGATTCTTCAAGAATTCTCTTGTGTTGCTTGTTCTCATAATAAATTGATTATACCAGCTAAAGTTGGGATTAAGATCCCTAATTCTGAAATATACAAAAGGTGAGTATGGGTCCATTCACCTATCATGTGAACCACTTATAGATGCATATATGAGATGATTACATGTGCGATTATTGTCAACCTGCAGTTTGGCATGTAAAATTGTTTTTCTCAGTTATGAGAATAATTTACAGATTATTAAATCAAGATAGTTCATCTTGATGATGCTGGTTTATATCCAAGCTGGTTTAATATTGAATACCTCCTATTAATGGTTAAACCATTGCTTATGAGAACAAAGCTTCATGTGTTGGTCTAAGATTTTCTAAATTGCATATAGTAGCACTTGTATGCATCAGACCAACAATATATGATAAGTCCTCCCCTCACAATTGGTTTAGGATCACAAACCAAATATTTTTACTATCTTTTGATGTGTGGTATATGATTAATTTCTCTACCACAATGCACAAAAATATGTTTCCCAAAGAAGATTGGGGATATATGTTAGTTTTTCTAACATTTGGGGGATGTAATAAACTACTGAAAAATATGCTATATGAATCGAACTATCATTAATATAATCCTCACTTAGAAGATAATTCAAGTAAAATGCCAGAAGCATTTGCTGATCCAAAATTAAATATTATATTTCAGCTGCAAATTCTCCTATTAAAATTTAAAGTCCCTAAAGGATAGAGTTTATTGTACGCATAAAGCGTGGTAGACCAATCGGTTCCAAAGGTAACAATCCTTGAAAAATGATAAGAAACTAATGATCAAAATGATCATAATGAGGAGGAAATGAGCTCTAGAAGAGCCCACAACATAACATTTCATGAAACTCCAGAAGAAGTTCAGGTACCTAAAAATAAAGAAAGTGATGAAATCTCAACAAGTTATGTCGCTTGCGAACCGATACAAAATAATCGTCGATGATATATTTGATACAATATAGTGCACAATATTGTAAAAGATTGTGAGGATCGAACCTGTAGTCCAGACACCTAAAGATGTCATGCCATTTAAATGCAAGTCATAACCTATATGACTCATTTGATTAAATCTCTATAAAGATCCCTGAAGGATTTAAAATGCTTGAATCATATAATTCAAAGTCTCAGAAAATGTACTCGATCAAATTATAAAGATTTTTGTATGGTTTAAAACAATCTGGGCGTATGTGTCACACCCCTTTTCTCCCTCTAAGAAATATGTGTGCAAAATGTAACGGATTGTGGGTTAAAGAGCTTTTCCAATTAAAGTGACAAATTTGAAGTAGGGATTATTTTATTTACAGAGTCGCCACTTGGAATTGACTTTTACTGGTGTTCCAAGTCACCTTTTATTCGAATCCCTATTCAAAGGAAGGTTTGACTCTATTATTGTTGGTCTGCGAAAATAAAGTCCGGGTAAGGAATTCTGTTGACCGGGGAGAAGGTGTAAGGCATTCCCTGAGTCCCGTGGTTCTAGCACGGTCGCTTTATTGACTACATTTGGCTTGAATTAAACTTGGATAAACTGTGGTTTATTTGATTTTTATGCTTTTCTTATGTCCGTTTTTATTTATTTTAAAAAAATAAAGAAAAGATTTGAATAATAATCTACAACTTAACTAATGAGAGAAAATTATTGTTATGAGTACTAATTTAAAAGATGAGAGTAATGAGAGAAAATTATCAATTGACATTGCTTAAAACTAGTAAGATGTGGGCTTGTCTTGACATTGAATGGGGCAGCCCACTATTGGGTTGATGGAGTCAAATGGGTTCATGTCCAAGACAAAATCCAAAAGTCCATATGCTTTTGGACTTTAAATCTGCAGATATGGCCTTTTAAAGCTNAAACATGGCTACAAGGGTTCAAATTTTAATATATATGCTCCTTTCAGACAACCAAATGCCAGTGGAATTATATCTAATGCTTTGCAAAAATAAAAATAATTAAAGATGCTTAACACAATTTAATTAACTAACATATTGTTATAACATTATCAAACATTCAAGAACATATAAAAATGAATTACAATAGAAGGATAAAGCAACTAATATTTCCCAGCGTCATTATCTTTCATTCCAACTCGATTTTATGAGTTTACATGGTCCGAAAATTACCTGGACAGCAGAAAGAAGAACAAATACAGCAGAGTCATCTCTTTCCAAAATCAACAGCAGAACAATTAAATGGGCAGCAACAACAGCAAAAGACAGCGACAACTGGCATATTCAAACCCAAGAAAATAAACTAGAAATACCCAGCAAAACAGTACAATTATGTAACTCCAGAAAAATCTTTCAAGACTATTCTATTCTTCTTAAACAAGTTTTTCACTTAAGAATCAACTCACAAAAGCTGCTAAGGGATATTATAGCTACTGATTTTTTCTCTCTTTTTTGTGTGTAGAGTTCCCTCAGTAAGATGGAGTGTCCTCCTATATATCAAAACAATCAGGTATTTCAAAAAAATTAAAAAATCAATCTTTTTGACAGATTTCTCTACAAAATCTACTCTTAAATTCAAAATGCCAGACTTTCTGGTTCAAATCTTGTCAAGTATTTCAAACAAAATCTGCTCTCCACTATTCAAAGACAGACTTTTATTCAAACACTATCCAAAGGTCTACATTTTCTTACCAAACAATTTGACTTTTGAGTGTTGTACTTAAAAAGTCTTGAAGCAGTAAATAAACAACCAAACAAGTACCATATACTCTTAAGTATTTTTCACTACCTCACTTTTATCAACACAAAACTATTTTACTACTTCAACAAGTGCAAAAAACAGAAAATTTAACATTTCAAACTTTAAAAACTATAATTAATAATAGACAAAAATAAAATCTGAAAAAATAAAAATAAAATAGAAAAAATAGCCACAAAAGAATAGGATTTTTACCATTTTATAATTCAAGTGGCCGAAAAAATAGGTGGTATGCCCAAAGAGGGTGTTCGGGGAGGTCGCCGGAATTTGGCCGGATTTTGGTCGCCGGATTTTCAGGGTAAAATTGGCATCAATAACTAGGTCTTGGGGAGCTCTATCCATTGATGTAGGTATTGTGGTGCGGTAGTGGTTGGAGCTTCAAGAATTTGGGCAAAAAAGTGACAGGAAAGTTTCCTAGATCTAAGATTCAAGGTGTTTGAGGGATTATTTTAGGATTTGGTTTGAAGATATGGAAAGAGGAAGTTGTGGAGATTACGTGGCATTTTGGAGGTGTTTGGAGGTGGTCCGCCGGCGGCAGCGATTTCCGGCAGGCAGTGGTGGGCAGAGCTGGGGCGGCGTAGAGAGAGTGAAGAGAGAAGAAGGAGAAAAGAATTATGGGTGAAAATGAGGACAATTTCAGATTTTTGAGGCTTTAAATACCTAAGCTAAGAGTGAATGAGATCCATTGGATCAAGATGGAATGGATGGGTATGATTTGATCATGTTTCATTTAGTGAAATGACGTAGTTTTGAGGCAAAACTACGTAGTTTCAGACCCTTTCAATGGAAACCCTTTATCTTGCACTCTTGGACACTTTTTCTTTCAAATTTGGCCAAATTTCTTCCTTAATCCTACTTATTAAACTAATTTTACACAAATAAATTAATTAAATAACTTATTCTAATGATCAATTAACTAGATTAATTCACCAACTAAACAGCTAGTTAATTCTTAAAATGCACAAATGAAGAAAGAACTATTTTTTTTAGTATTTTATGATAATAAATATGCAATTAAAATCACAAAAATTGAGAAAAATAATTAAAATAACAAAACACTAATAACTTTAGGAGGTGTTAAATAGTGCAAAAATTAGGTGTTCACAGTATGTTGTATTATCGCCTCAGTGAATATTTGCTGAAAGAAAGTTACATATATAATGTTATTTGTCCATGTATTCAGAATTTGATATACTTGTTGTTTATGTTGATGACATAAATCTTGTTGGAACTATAGAAGAGTTCCAAAAGGCAATTGAATATCTTAAGAAAGAATTTGTGATGAAAGATCTTGGAAAGACAAAACTTTGTCTTGGTCTGCAAATTAAACATTTAGCATACGAGATCTTTATCTATCAATCTGTCTATACAACAAGGGTCTTAAAACGCTTTTACATGGACAAAGCGCACCTATTGAGTACACCAATGGTTGTTCGATCACTTGAAGTGGATAAGAATTTGTTCCGACTTCCAGAAGAGGATGAGGAACTCTTTGGTCCCGAAGTATCCTATCTCAGTGCAATTGGTGCACTAATGTATCGTGCTAATGCTAAAATGCCTGACATAGCATTTTCTGTTAATTTACTAGCAAGATATAGTCCTTCTCCTACACGGGTTAAGGATCCGTTCTTACCTCCAGAAGAGAATGATGAACTCCTTGGTCCAGATATACCCAAGTCTCTGCACTGTACTTTTTTTCCCTTGCTCGAATTTTTTCCCACTGGGTTTTTCCTGGTAAGGTTTTTAATGAGGCAGCTTGCAATGTATATTATTAGTGTACTCTTTTTCCTTGACTAGGATTTTTTCCCATAGGGTTTTTCCTAGTAAGGTTTTAACGAGGTACATAATAATGAACATCCAAGGAGGAGTATTTTGAAAATATTTTTGTGGATGTTCATTTATTACTCCGCTGTAGATAATCTTCCTAAAGAAGATTATCCATTTAGTACTCCATTGAAGTTTTCTACAAGCATGCAGCTGATGCAGGCAGGTTGCAAACAACTCAATGAAATGACTTGTAGCAACTTCTTGGTTTTGATGAGATTAATTTAAATCAATCTGAAGTAGTTGTGGATAATATTCTCTACAAATTCAACTTTTGAGAAGATGGTATACAAGATTAGAATGCGGAGACTCGAATATTTAAAACAAGGTTTTCATCAGGGGGAGTAAAATACGCGATGCACTCTTTTTTCCTTACTAAGGTTTTTTCCCATGGGGTTTTCCTTATAAGGTTTTTAATGAGGCACCTAGCAATGCGTATTACTAAATATGTGTACTCTTTTTCCTTCACTAGGATTTTTTCTCACATGATTTTTCCTAGTAAGGTTTTACTGAGGCACATTATCTCTTAATGAACATCCAAGGGGGAGTGTTATAAATATACATTATATTATGGATGTTCATTTAGTACTCCGTTGTAAATAAGCTTCCTGAAGAAGTTTATCCATATGGGACTCTGCCGTAAATATGATTATCTATTTAGTACTCCACTGGAAATAAGCTTCCTGAAGAACCTTATCATTTCGGTACTCCGTTATGGATAAATATTACCCCCGACAGAAGATTATCTATATCTGGTACAGTCGCAGCTTACAAGCAACTTACAAGCAGCTTATACAACAGCTTGCAGTAGCAGCTTACAAGCAGCTTACAAGCAGCTTGCCGTAGCAGCTTACACAACAGCTTGCAATAGCATCTTACACATCAACTTCCTTTCTTCTATAAATAGAGGAGATTTCAATTCATTATGTACATGAATTTGAAGTTGAATAATAAATCTCTCTCTCTCTCTCTATACTTGTCTTTGATTTCTTTACTTTAAAGTCTTTATTTTATAACAGATTTAAAGGTCTATCAAAAATTTTGATTTCTTTATTTTTCAAAAGAGTCTAATTCAAAAATGTATGATCAGAAAATCATTGAGATTCATAGCATGTTTGGCCAAGCTAGAAAAATCAGCTTAATTTGAAAAGTAGTACTTTTTTTCAAAAGTATTTTTTTAAAAGTACTTATAGTGAAAGCAATTTATGTTTGGCTAATTAATTTGAAAAACACTTCTAAACAACAATTATTGTTTGATCAAGCTTTAGAAAAAGTGCTTCTAAATGTATTTTTTTCAAAAGTGTTTGAGGAAAAAGTTACTTTTTTTTTCTCCAAAACTGCTTCTATTTCTCCTCAAAAGTACTTTTTTCTTCTAAAAGCTTGGCCAAACACTTCAACTTAAAAAAAAAATACTTTTCAGCTTGGAGAAACTTGGCCAAACAAGCTATTAAACTCATGATCTTAATAATTGTACTACTGCTTGGGTCTAGTGGCATGAGCTTATCAACAAGCAACACATTCCGCACCCCCAATTTTGTAGGGTATATACTTGGACCTTTACAAAACTTACAGAATAGAAGTATTGACAATCAAATTACACAAGTTCAAATATATGGAGCCTTAACGAAAATCTTACAAACTTGGGGAGCACATGACCAACTTCATAGAAGGTTTTTTCCAAGCAAGTCATAATTGTTTCCTCAAAATTACGTTACTTAACTTTGAGTTGGATTTATAAGGTTAGGGAAATATATAAGCTTATTGTTATTTTCTTAAGGATTTATGTTATATGTATCGATAATGTAGAACATTATCAGTGTAATTTAGAGCATGTTTGGGAATATCCCTACAAGTTTTAGGGTGTCACAACTTATCAACAAGACAGTCATTATCTCCTTTAATTATTTCTTTCTGCAATCTCATTAGATTGGAGCGTGTATAGGATAGTTATTTGATGAATAATATCATATTCCAAATGTATTTCTTCAAAATGAGATACATATTCACAATCCTATTACTTTTGTATTGCTTGAATATATCAATCAGTAATTTTATCTTTTTCATGTGGGGTCCTCGATCATTTCTCTTCTCATGTCTTGTGGGGTGGCGCCTGGATCTATTTCCCCTCTGATACCTACTGTATGGATGATATCGATCTCAGACTGGCCTTGGTTCCTGATTAATGGTTCTCTTACACCTGCCATCGGTTTTGATGGGGTAAACAGATCCGAAGAGGCCCCAAGTTTGCCGTCTTCGACCCTGATCTTCGATTGATATCTGTTATGGACGTCGGTCTAGGTGACCGCTGGGTACTCCACCAAGTTTTGCTTTTGTTGTTAAGAGGCCACATAACTTTGGGGGTTGAGCCCTTGAGTACGGCCCAATCATCCGCAACTGGTGGCAGATCCATCCGTTCCATCTGGAACCTCTACACGAACTCCCCGAGCATGCTATTATCCCTCTATTTGACCTTGAAAAGGTCTGACTTCCTTGTATCGATCTTGATCGCACCGATATGGGCCTTCACGAAAACATCTGCAAGCATAGCGAATGAGTCGATAGAATTTGGAGGCAAGTTGTGATACCATATCATTGCTATCTTGGACAAGGTTTCCCCAATTTTTTCAGCAACACCAACTCGATTTCATCGTCTTCCAAGTCATTCCCTTTAATTGCGCATGCATAAGAGGTTACGCGCTTATTTGGATTCGTGGTCCCATTATACTTGGGAATGTCGGGCATTCGAAACCTCTTTGGAATCGACTTTGGTACCGCGCTCGGAGGGAAAGGCTTCTTAATAAACATTTTAGAGTTTGGTCCCTTCAATATCGGAGTCGCTCCCGAGATCTGATCGACCCTGGAGTTATACATTTCCACCATCTTGTCGCTGACCTCAACCTTCTTCTCGCCTGACTCCGCCCGTTTTTTCAATACTTCAAGCATCTTCATCACCTCGGAAGTTTCCTCAGGCCTGAATTCACCAGGTTCTACGGTAAGTCATTCATCCCTCCGAGTATTTTCCTGAAACTGCTCGGGTTCGACTATGTTAGGGGCATGACTTTGGTTACAACTGCGCTATCACCGCTTGCTGAGCCTGAAATATTTCGAAAATCAATCGCAGGCTCACCCCATCACCTTTACCCTCGGGCGCCTCTCGAGCCGCTGGCCGAGGTCCCCCACGAACGTATGTTTTTCGGAATCAGTCGGTAGATTGATGTTGATGGACATCTGTGAGTTAGCATCAATCGGGTCGGTAGCTGGGACACCATTGGGATCGACAGGAGGCACATCATTGCTAGCATCATGCTTTTATTCTCACCATGATGGCCTGACTCAGCATCAACGTTCAAGTGAGCAGACTGAGAATTTGGCATCCTTAGGCTAACCTAAAATCAAAACTTCAAAGAACAAGAAAAAAGTAGAGTATGTTATGGAGATTCGTATCAAATCACCACTATTATCCTTTTCCCCATGGTGACGACAAACTGTTTACCCTAAAAAATAAGTAACAATTAAATTTGTACGCGGTTTAAAGGATATGTAATTTAGTTCAATATGAATGATCTAAGAACATCAGGTAATTAAGTTAAAGATAAAATAAAATATCAAACCTATAGTAATGCGATGATCAAGCCCGATCTTAGGTTGAACGGTGAAATTCATCCTCGATCGGACCTTCGATACAAGCTCGGTCGCGAATAAATAAGAGAACAAATGAAGAACACTTTGAATAATAGCTATAACACAAAATAAACTTTTATTGCTTTGATTTTTGTGTCAATG